AATCATAAGAATCTTATTCCTATCTCTTTTACCAGACCCATCTAGACAAGATGAAAAGTATTCAGTGGGGACTCTATCTTCCTCCACACACTCTTAAACTATACTCCCTCTTGAAATCTTGTAAGCCAGACACTTGTGCCTTTATCACCCCTACATTTTGGGTAGCCAATGCCTAAGTTGTCTGTCCCTATCTACCCTGTATACAGAGGGGATAGCATTGATAATTGATGTGAAGACTCCTTCCCTCTCTGTTGGTATTTTGAGCTACTACCTCCATGAGTATAGGTCAAGTTCCTCAAATTGTAGCAATTTATCCTTGTTTCCTTGAGTTTAAAAAAAAAAGAAAGAAAAAATTTTTTTTATTATTTTTTTACTCTTTCCCTAGTCAAGTTCTGATTATCCAGCCATCAAGGAGAGGTCAAATGGGTGCTATCTGCAAGTTTGGGTCTTCTTGTCTCTCTCATCTCCAGGTCAATGGGAATCTGACATGGTATTTTCAATTGCTTCATACACATCTGAAAGTTGGACAATGAGTAACGGATATGAGAGAAGAATTGACTAGATGCATTTGAATTTTTGTGTTGGAGAAGAATACTGAAAGTACCACGGAGCCTCAGATGAAGAAATGAATGAGTTGTGGAAAACATACAGCCTGAATATTCCTTAAAAACAAGGATGGTTCGACGTCAATGGTTGCAGGCCCCTTCATGCAACATCAGCTAGCCCACTTCCTCCCTGTGATTCCTGTCTCCATTCCATCCTCCTTCCCAACTTTGTCCTTAGTCAAGTGCTGCCCTTTGGATCTTGAGTTGTTGAGGATTCCATGGTGAGCAGATCTCACCAGTGTTGCTGTCCTCACTACATATCTCTCTACTGGTTGGCTGAAAATAGAGGCACGAGGGTGTGATCAGTTCCAGACCTGAAGGCTGACGGAGGGCCACCAGTTCTTCCAGTTTCTTTTTGACCGACCAGTAAGCCCTGTCATTTCCATAACCTTGAGTTTTGGTCCACATATTCTCCCACTCTGTCTTGGACCTTCTAATGTGATCTCTTTCAGAACAGTCATCAGGGGCAGCCGGGCACGGGCCAAGTCTTCTGTCTCAGGGTCACTGTTTTTGTTGTTTGGTGCCAACGAGTCAGCACTGACTCATAGCGACCCTATGCACAACAGAATGCAACACAGTCTCAGGATCATGGAGACAGATAGTCATGCAGTGCATGAGTTCATCAGTCCAATTGATTCCCAGCAGCGTTCTGAGAACTTTTGTAGATATTTTTTGGTGCTTTTGGTAGGAATATGTCCCTGGAAGTCCCTTCATCAATTTGACTAAAGTCACTTTTCCCATGATTTTTTTTTTTTTTTTTTGTAGTGCTTTTTTTCTGTGTGAATTATGTGATAGTTTACATGGGAAAACATTAGTTTTACATTCATCCTGTCATATATCATTTCATTGCCATGGTTACAATCCCCTCCATGCATCATCAACCAACCAAAGGGTTATACCCTGCAAGCCTGGCCCCCAGTTGTCAGCAAACTGCCCCTCTCCCTCTCTGTGTCTAAAGTCTCTGGTAGCTCCATCTCTCCATGTCATCATCTCTGCCTCCATCTCAAGCATCACTGCTTCTCTAGGTAGGGCCCGCTCTCTGCTCTTCTCCCTTGATGGTCCCAGGGACTTCCACTCCTAGACTGAAAAGTTAATCACTCCCCTTGCTACAAAACATCTACTTTTACATTTCCAACCCTCACAATCAGTCCTGATAACAATTATTCACTACTGTATCACAAGAGATCTATCCACATTTCCTTTCATCAGCCCCGCCTAGACAGATTGGATACTACTCAGTGTAGAGTCTACCTTCCTCCAAACCCTCTGGATCTAGGTTCCCTCTTGAATGCTTGTAAGCCAGTCACTTCATGCCTTTCACATGATGTTTTAAGTGAATTCATTCATTCTGAACTCCTTACATTTTAGTGCTGTTTTGATTATGACAATCAGAGTGTTTATTCTTCTGGAAAGAAGTGGTTGTCTTCCAATGTTCAACAAAGACCCCCTGCCTCTGAAATGCCGGGAGCCAGCCCCAGCACACTTATTCCAGGGTTTTTCTGAAAGCGTATGCGGCGTCGGCTGATTACGGAGTCATA